GGGGGGGGGCTGCGCATCGCCAGCAGCAGCGTGGGCACCAGGAACGCGGGCAGCTCCTGCAGGAACCAGGCGCAGCGGGCGGGCAGCCTGGCCCGCAGCTTGTCCGACCTGTCGTCGTGTTTCCCGTACCTGGCCGGGGTTCGGAAGTTGCGGTAGAGCTGCATGAGCGCCAGGACACCCAGGAGGGAGCTGAGGGCGAGCGCCAGGCTCGGGGAGCACTGCATGCTAGGGATGGGGGCAGCCCAGGGCACCGCCAGCCCCGGCCTTAATAAAGCACTGGTCTCCCCGCCCAGCCTCCATTTGGGAGGGGAGCTGGGGCAGGGAGGGGCAACCCTCCTGCAGGCTGATTTGCCCTAGGCACATGCGGGAATCCCTGCCCTTGACAGTCCAGGGGTGTCAGGTCTGCATACTTTTTGCTGGTGCCCAGAAAAGGTCCAATTCCCCCCCCCCCCCCCCACACACACCACACCTGCCTGGTAAACCCAGCTGGATTTTTTTTTAAATAATGTCTAATAATCTATATTGCACAATATCACTATTGTAAGAACAACTATTTAACCAAGAATATCCACTTTGTTAATACTACTTACATATGACATGCTGTATTCTAGGCATTGCTCTTGTCTACACATGCTAACACACAGCTCTTGTGAATATGGAAACAACTAAGCACGCTTGGATCAATTAAAACAAAATGTAGCCCCCTTCTTTTGTGGTGCTCTTCTAATTGTTTTTCATGTAAAATGACACCGTTCAGTGCCTAGCTGTACTGGCTTAGGAAAGCACTGCATTTAAATAATTAAACCAGCAAAACAACAGGTACTGTTAACAATAGTTAAAGCCACAACAAGGACAGAACATGGAATGAATATGATATACAATAAAGAATGGCAGTTATAGTCGCAAAAATAAAAAGAATGAAAGCAATACATAACACTAATAATCTGCAAATAAACGTGACATATGATCAGATACAGTTTGTAAGCGTACACCACAAAAAATGTAACTTGCATAAAGATAAAGTTTAAACTCCAAAACATACACTAATGTTATAAAAGACATATATTTCAGAAGAAATACTATTTAGCATTTACCAATCAGGAGGCAGGAAACTGTTTTTAACGTTGTTTGGTTTTTCTTGAAATGAAATCATCCAGGAGACTTGCTATGTCCAATTCAAAGGTACAGTTCCTACGAATGCGCGAAAATGCCATGTGATTTAGACATTCATGGCCAATTGTCATTTACAAATATTCAGTCTGCACAGGTAATTGAACCATGGCTCTGTGGTGCAGACTGTAGTCAGAGCTGTGTAGAATAATTTCAGAAGAATTGTAACTTCTGACTGCATCAATCAAGCCTTCATTTGGTTTCTGCACTTCACTCACTGATTTAAGATGACAATTTCTTGATCTGCAAATATTGCTCAACATTTCTAAATGAAGAGTGGGTTGCCTGTGCATGTTAATGTCACCTCTGAAATCTTCACTTATTGGGACAATGTCTTGTGCTGAGCCGTTTACTGCATTAGTTATATGCTTCTCCAATTTTACTGCAAATATAAAGCTTTCTGTTGAAAACCACTGTTCAATGGAAACTTTTCAAGTATCAATGATCTCAACATATACTGATGAAAACACTCTTTGGGATCACTGAAGGACAGAGACTTCCATGGTTGAGCCATCTTTGTGACTTGCATTTTCTTGGGAGTCATCATGTGAATAAAGATTTCTTGCCATACTTATTATTGTGTCTCAGAAGGGATTACATGACCAGTCAGTGGGCATCCCACTCAACACCTTTCCCAATAGACCAACTTTCTATAAAATGCTTGTCAATGACATATTTGGGCTTTGAATATTTGCATTAACTTCTTCCACAGGACCCATGGATTCCACAAGAACTATTAGTGTAAAGTATGTTGAAAAATATTTAAGTTGCTTTGAAAATCCACTACATTTTGAGCCAGATGTATCTGAAGAGTGACTACATTTATTCATGGCTTCATTGTTGTTGAGCAGTGATTTAATGCTGCTGATCATTAATGTCCATTTTGTTAGGCACAAACATCATAAAAGAAGTTCCCCTCTCTGAAACTCTCCGAATACTGCCATACACTTTCGTGACTTCTTCAAGGCATTGATGAGATCTTTCACCATCAAAAACATATCACAAAATTCTGGAATATTGTACAGGGCATTCTGTGTGGCAAGGTTAAGGGAATGTGTAGCATAATGCAGAAATTCCTCTCTTAGCTCTCAATCCTCTGGTTTGGCTCCAGTAAATTTACCAGAGACATTACTAGCTGCATTATAATGCTGCTCCCAACAATCAGAAAAAGGCAAAGCACACGATTTTGAAAAGAGAAATAGCAACCATGGTATAAACTCCTCATAAATCTGCCAGTCTTCACTAGTCTAGTGCCAGTCTAGTGAAAGGTTATTTCACTAGAAAATAACCTTTAAAAAACGAACTTGTTCTTTTCTTGACAAATCTTCCATTACAATAGTATAAGCCTTAGAAAGCTTTATCTTATGCAATTATCATTGTCATAATTTTGATTTTTTCATTAATAACCTCATGTGGTAACCACCTGTATTTTGTGTGATTAGGCCACTGTCTCAGTTCCTCTGAATCTGTACTGAAGAGGAACAAGAGCTGCATCAAATTTGAATCATGCTCTCAGGTCCACAGTGCTATTCCTTGTTGAAATAGGTACCGAACAGTGGTAAACATTTTGTTCAGTGCAGTCCTAGCCAACTGTGATTCTTTTCTGTCACTGTCTGACATCAGTGCAGAAACATTTACCTGCAATTGCAGAGCAGCATACTTCATTATGGCTTCCTATCTGAGGATTCCCTTACTGTCATTTATAAGAAGACTCTTTTACATCACTCTGGCAATGTAGAGGCCTTAAAAATTTCACAAGTTTTATGCTCCTTGGGGGAATTGACTGAGAAAGGGAAGAGTTAACTAACACTAGGAACAATAGGCAATAAGATCAATTAACCATCAACAGCAACTTTAATAACTGTATTATACAGTACAGTGCCTCCAGCCTACCTCCTGCATAATAAAAAGCACTACACTTGAGAAGAGAGCAGGGGCAGAGAGACTCTCTTTCACTTTCTTTTGTTGGCACATTCTTATGTAAGCCCAGCCCTGTCCCTCCTCCCCACCAACAGTGATCACTGGCATGAGTGCCCAGCCTCCTTCTCTTCCCCTTCTCTGAGTCTGCTCTGGCAGGCTGAAACAGACACACTACTCGGGCTGCCCAGGAAGAGGTATGTTTCCCCCTGCAGATTTTCTTTATGCGGAGCACAGAAAAATGCAGGCTATATAAATTATGCACCCCCCATATGGACACAGAATCCCTCCCCCCAGGAGTATTGTTATTGTGTTCCAACTATGTAAATCTTGATAGCCAAGATTGCTGACAAAGTTTGCAAGCTGGGTATCAAACTCATTTGATGAATAACCTTTTTCATCTTTTTCTCTGGGTAACTTTATTAAGAACTTATCTGTTGTTGATTATTATTATTTTATGAACAGAGAATTTGTTGCAGCAATAAAATGAAGCTACAGCAAAAATTACAAGAATCGATTAAAATTGGAAAATCAGAAGCAGCACTCACCTGCTTCAATACATTGTTTTTTGTTGTACACTTATACCCACAATTATGTGCTTTACTTTATAGAGTATAAAATAAGTATTATGCTAAACACAATTATACCCCAAACTGAGCACTGAATGTAAGTTGCATGTTTTCCCCTTCAGGCACTCAGGGTATGTCTACACTACCACCCTAGTTCGAACTAGGGTGGTTAATGTAGGCAACTGGAGTTGCAAATGAAGCCCGGGATTTGAATTTCCTGGGCTTCATATGCATATTGCCGTGCGCCGCCATTTTTAAATGTCCGCTAGTTCGGCCCCTGTGCCCGTGGCTACACGCGGCACAAACTAGGTAGTTCAGATTAGGCTTCCTATTCCGAACTACCGGTACACCTCATTCCACGAGGAGTAACGGTAGTTCGGAATAGGAAGCCTAATCTGAACTACCTAGTTTGTGCCGCGTGTAGCCGCGGGCCCGGAGTCCGAACTAGCGGACATTTAAAAATGGCGGCGCCCGGCAATATGCAAATGAAGCCCGGGAAATTCAAATCCTGGGCTTCATTTGCAACTCCGGTTGCCTACATTAACCACGCTAGTTCGAACTAGGGTGGTAGTGTAGACATACCCTCATAGAGTATATGGGACTTTTCCCTCTAATTTTTCCCACTCGTGTGGAATGAATCTAGTTATGTGCACCAATATTCTCTGCACCCTTATGAAAGTGCAGAATTCATTTGGCCTGCATTTTTCTGTTCCCATCATGCAGAAAAATGGAGAAAAATAAATCAACTAGGGGACACATGCCTCTTCCCTGGCAGCCCAGTCAGCGCAACTGTTCTAGCATGCCTGGGCTCAGAGCAGCCTCAGAAGTAGGGAAGGGAAGCCTGAGTGTGCATGCCAGTGTAATCATCATGGGGGGGAGAGAAGGTGGGAGTTGGATGTACGGGTGCCTTGGTTCAAACTAACGCGTCCCAACACACACTTTCACTTTCAAAACAGCTGTTGACCGGAGTAATGCGCGGGTGAGATCATGCTAATGAAGCGCGGGATATTTAAATGCCCGCTTCATTGACTATTTTGAATGCCTACATTTGCATCCCTAGTTCGAACTAGAGTGCAAGTTTAGACATACCCTGAGGCACTAGCAGCTTGACTGTGTTGTTAGTAACACTGATAAAATTGTTTGTGATGGTTAATTGAGATCCTTCTGTTAAGGCAGATGTGCAGCAGCCTGACCCTTATGTTAATATTGTTCATGTTTCTATTGTTCTTCAACTGTTCCCATTCTCAGTCCCATGCTCATGCTCCCTGAGGAGCATAAAACTTGTGAAAGTTTTAAGGCCCGTACATTACCAGTGGGCATATTAATTCTTTTTTTAGTGGATAGAATGTATTTAGGGGCAGGGAACTTTATTGGGGTCTAGGGCCGCTGACCCACAGAAAAAACGATTTGGGGGCTGCACACAAGAAGCAAGGGGGAAAAAAAGCTCTCTCTGACGTGGCCCCTGATTGAGAAGGAGAAAGACACTCCCCATATTCCCCTCGCACACCAGAACCTAGGGGGCCCAGACTAATAGATTTTGGCTATTTCTACACTGTGTTCTTTTTCTGGGAAAAGATACGCAATTTGCATACCTTTTTCCGCTTTCTCTACATGG